CGGACGTTATTACTCATCAGATATTGTCAGCGTTGCATTTCGAGGCTGATATTGTTGTTTCTGTTAAGGGATCAGTATCATCTTTTTTATATATTTTTTTTTTACATTTTCTGATACGCTTAGAACTAATATAGAAACCCACTTTACCATTGGAAGGCTTCGAAAAAGGCCCAAAAATAATAATATCGCTCGACGTTCAAAGCGCTCGGAGTGCACACCTCAAACTTTAAACGCGTTTTTCTCAAAACACACTTTTTTAAACTGGCGGACATGATTCCGGTCGAACTACTCAACCGATTTGCCTTTTTTTTTAATGTTCACAAAACGCCTGGCTATCGTCCCTATATTTTTTTTTATAATTTATTGACAAGTTATGACAAAATTTATGTAAAAAAACATGGGGAAAAAACGTCAATTACAATTTTATTTATCAACATTTTTTCATGGTTCTACTAGGAACGACAACCATTCACGTACTTTTTGAGAATAAATTGGTTTTTTATGCTTCAGATCATCCAAACGTGAGAAGTCGTGTCCGCTAGTAAAAAACGCATCTCATTCACTCAGCCATTTCTCCGACAGATGTAATCAAATCTGGAGAAAGCAAAACTAACGGAGTGGTTGTTGAGGCCAATGGATCATGTAATTTTTTTATTATATCAATATAATTTTATGTATATTATTATATTTTTCTTTTGCGGTGTGTGTCGATCACCACATGGGTCTTTTCCCCGATTTGGGGTATGGTCAATTGTTGCTTTCCCAGGCCTAAAGCCACATTCCAATCAGTTTGTTGACGAAGAGCTGTAATTATTCACACAATATGCTCGATAAAGCATTATACGCGATACTGAGGAGGCTTATCACGCGGTAGTTGGCGCAGGTTGTGGGGTCTTTCTTTGTGTGGATTGGGCAGAGCACACTTAATTTCCAATCGTTGTGCTTTCGTCCGACCATATTCTACAAAAATGCTGATGCATGCTCCTTATCAATTCTTCGCCGCCGTTTTTAATAGCTCGGCTGAGAATGCATCGGCCCCCCGCTTTGTTTTTCTTCAGGCAGGTAATTGCTACTCGAACTGCTTCATGGTCGGGCAATGTAACGTCTGCTCCATCGTCATTTGGGAATCGGACTTTATGCTTTCACCGCTATTCAGCAGGCCGGAGAAGTGTTCCCTCCATAACTTTAGTATGCTCTGGATACCAGTAGGCAGTCTGTTTTCTCTCTGCTGATACGGCACTCCTCATCGTACCAGCTGTTCTTTTGCCTTTCTCCAAAACCAATGGTTTCGTTTGCAACTGTAACAACCAATGTTTAACCAATTAAGTAATTAAAATGTCTATGTATTTAGTTTCAGCCACGGTTTTACCTTTAAACATTTTTAAGCTAAACTTTTGCAACTTCTAATTGAATGATAATTTATTTTATCTCTCGTGCCTGCTCATCTCACCGAAATTGTATAATATATAAGTAGTACTTCTAACTTTAGGTTTAAAATAAGCAAGGTCACACTAAGTTTCCTTCTGTTAAATGTCGTTTTGAATCCTATAACCTCACTCCACTCTTGCAACTTCTAAGAGAGGCCTCCATCTGATAAGGTTAATATTCTTCGGTTATAACCTATCGTAATTTTTTATCAAAAATCCTATTATGACTAAACTTAAGGTTCCAAACATACTTCACCATTATTGGCTTATTTGTTTTTGAGCCACTTCATTGTAGAAAATAGTTTTTAAATAAACTACGAGCCAACGAGTCACATAAAAATCTCGTATATACATTATATATACTTTTATATATTATATTACACCTATGCCCAATTGCCAATTAAGATTCGTCTGGTGAGTTAACTGACACCACCAACGTCTATAGCTTTGCGACGAACACATACATATGTACGCCTTTATATGTGTACATATGTAGGTATATGTATATCAAGGTATGCATATAAATTTTCTTATCGTCGAACCTGGGAAACTTTTGTTTGAACTTCAATACGTTAAAATTAAATACTCCCTGATCTTTTTTATGTTCACATGTTCGTAAAAAGATCAGGCAAAAGCAAAGCAGGTATAAAATTAAAATTAGTAAGGTGACTTTGACATAAGACGTGATCGTATGTAATGTGTTCTCTCAAACTGAAGACACAGTCAGTTATGTACGAGCAACATGAGGTAGAGAACTGTCCGATTGTAAATACATATGTATGTATGTATGTATATGAATAATGAATCGACAATTGAACATAAAACATTTCCCATGATTAGAAGTTTTATATATTAGAAGGTATTGAAAATTATGATATATAAATTTATAGTTCAGATATTCCTTAATACTTTGATTTCTATAATTGTGAGGCAAAAACTATTTGCTGATATATACATTTCTTTTCTACATTCCAAAAGGAACGATCATTTTGAAAATAATTTTATATTCTTGCAACATATTGCTACAGAGTACAATAGTTTTATTCACCTAATGATTGACTATTTCACCTAAAAATAATCGAGTTAGATATAGGGTTTATATACATAAATGATCGTAATGATGAGATGAGTTGTCTCTCAGTCGGGCGGACGGACTTGAATAAAACTTAAGATATTGTGGATGGGAGTAATTGGACTATGCTCATAAAATACTAATAATCGGAAAATTATTAATTGGCGTAACTAAGCAGAAAATTAAAATATAAAACTGTTAATTAGTACAACGGATCATGGCTTGTGTTTTGAAAATATTTGGAAAGCGAGCGTCAAAATTGGACAATGAGTACCGAATATTTTGACCAGGGTACCTATGGCTGACTTTTTATCGCATATATCTATCAATGTGTGAGATACATAATTGACACTCTGGGGTAATCCTTTCTTGACAAAGGGTTGAATTGAGTTAAGGGATATTGATACCCATATATGTACCTAATTACTAACTTTTTACCGCATATTATATCGGGCAGCGTGTGAGAGTCCATATAAAAAATTTGCACAACAGCAGGGTCTTATATATGTATGTATAATGATTTTCGTTTTACTAACAAACTTTATGTCGAATATGAAATATGGTTTCCGATCTTCTGGTTGAAATTTCGCACCTTACGATAATCCCTTAGCTTTGATTCTTGCAAGTTGCATTATTATTAATGTTCGGTGTCACTTAGCACTTAGCCATTCCTTACTTGATTATACCTAAAATTGAATAAATCTTTATCTTGTATAATATTGAATACACCATACACTCCAAGCTTTAAGCAGTTTATTTATGTCTTGCAAATGTTTCCATACTAAATATTTGTAAAATTATACCAACTTTTGAGCAGTTGTAAAGTTGAACAAATACTATACATATATATTTGTGCGTCTGCAATTATTTATTTTTAACATTTTGTTTTAATATAAAATCTGCAAAATTGTAACATTTATTCATATAATAATTTCCAAATAACGACATTTCAACATTCTAATTGATTTTTGTCCAATTGGAAAAGAGGTGTATGCACAAAACACACCAATAATAGGGAAGATGAAAACAAGAATCAAATTAAGCCATGAGAAGTTAAATTTTACAAGATGAGTGTTGGAACTGCTGTTGCCAATTTAATTGGATGTATGGCTGTAATAATATTTTGGACACATAAGAGCTACCGATAAGAACGATGTATTATACATATTTATAGTATATGCATATACATACATACAGATGTGTACATGTTATCTTGTGTTTTGTATGTATAAGTATAGCCCGGTTTAATATATATATGTATGTATGTATATAGTATGTATGTAGATGGTATATATGACTAATAAAAACTAAAGTAGTTTATTTTATATTTTTATTACACTTAACGTGGTCGAGTTTTTTGTTCTAAAAATTGTATTCAAGTAGAAACTATGTGCATACATATTCATATAAATATATGTATATTTCAAAGATCTCAGTCAAAGATACGTTAACAAAAATAAATGCATGGATTTTATTTAATGATCTATTTATGGATCATTCAGCAACTCAATTTATCAAATAAATTTTTCTGATAAATGGTTAATCGTCTATGACAAAAATTCAAATTTGGATAAACTTTGTAATTTCAATCCGAATATGTTATTGATCATACAATATATGATACATTTCAAAATATACTCCATTTGACAAATTATAATATACATAAATATGTATGTAATATGTAAATATCGATCAATTTTTTCCGAATAACTCAAAATGTATGCCCTAAAGACAGCGCAGATATAATACAGAATTATTTAGAGAATATAATAAAGGATGTCACGTGGCACGTGTTAAGAGTTGCGGCTACTGAGTACGTAGTGTAATCGAAAAAATGCGATAATGGGGTCAACGTTGAACGGTTCTGAACTTTCGATCATGCAAACGCAGTGTGCTAACAAAATATAGTACTGAGCATCAAGCAACAAACGCTTACAACGCATAGTCAATCAATATTATACTTAGTACAGTTAAGATATGTGATTTAATCTGCTAAGAGCAACGAGTACATATGAAATGTAATTACATATATATGTATATAATACGATAACTATGTCGTGTCATGGAACGATTGGGTATACTAGTTTTGTTCACCTATCGGTTGTACGTATCACCTAAAACTAATCGAGATAGGTATAGGGTTATGTATATTTATATACATATGTATATACATATATAAATGTATATGTATGTATGTATATATGTATATATATAATTGGAGTTGAGGGCTTCGTCTTCATCTGCTTCCCCCGGCAGGTACTTCGTCGAATACTGCGTCTTGTAATTCGCTGAACTATGTCAATGTCGTCGAATATCTCATACAACTCATCGTTTTATGTTATTGCTAACAGTATTATTGAGCTCATTATGTTAGGCCTCGATTCATCCTTGGACATTGATAATAAAAGTCTGTACCTTAAAATTTAATAAAAGAAATTAACTATTTAGTTCGGGGCAGTCAAATATATGAATTGGTTTTATGTAGACTTTCTTTACGAAGTTTAACAATAATAATGTTCTAAATTATTTTTATTTGAGCTTTATTGAAAATAAGAGAAAAACATTCGCATTATAATATTAACTGCAATAACGAAACTATTATATTCAGATGCAAATACAAACATATAATTCATGTATGTATATACGCTTATTTATTAGTTTTAGCACCCTGCATCATTGATTTCGGTCCAAGCATGTTCTGTGGTTTTACCCAATCATTAAATTGCCGTTCGGTTAAGTAACCTAAATTTATTGCTTCTTCTTTAAGAGTAGTCCCATTCTTGTGAGCTGTTTTAGCTATTTGTGCCGCCTTATCGTAACCAATATGCGGGTTTAATGCTGTCACTAGCATTAAAGACTCGTTCATTATCTTATTGATGCGGTCTTTGTTCGGTTGAATATCTTTTATGCAATTGCAGGTAAAAGTCCGACTGGCATCAGAGAGTAAACGAATAGAACGGAGAACATTCGAGACCACCAATGGTTTGAAAACATTCAATTCGAAATGACCGTTCGATCCTCCTATGGTAACTGCGACGTGATTACCAATCACTTGTCCGGCAACCATCGTAATTGCCTCGCATTGTGTGGGGTTTACTTTCCCTGGCATAATTGAGCTACCTGGTTCATTTTCGGGTAACATCAGCTCACCAAAGCCACATCGTGGTCCAGAACCGAGAAAACGTATATCGTTAGCTATTTTAAACACACTGCATGCTATTGTGTTCAACACTCCACTTACTTCTACCATCGTATCGCGTGCTGCTAGCGCTTCGAATTTATTCGGTGCCGATACAAATGGTAAGCATGTCAATTCGCTAATTCTTTTTGCAACTTTCTCGGCAAAACCTTCAGGTGCGTTGAGTCCTGTTCCTACAGCGGTTCCGCCAAGAGCAATTTCATATACACGAGGAAGACATGCATCGATTCGTTGAAGAGCATAAGTAATTTGTTGTGTATAACCACTGAACTCCTGACCCAGTGTTAAAGGTACAGCATCCATTGTATGTGTTCGTCCTATTTTTACAATATCCTTGAACTCTTCCGATTTCAATTTTAAACCTTCTCGCATAAATTCAATATTCGGTTTTAGTGTATTTACTAGTTGCATTGCCACAGAAATATGAATTGCAGCGGGGAACGTGTCATTTGAGCTCTGCGACATATTTACATGATCATTTGGATGGACAGGTTTTTTTGAGCCCAATTCACCACCCATTAGTTCGATAGCACGATTACTGATAACTTCATTACAGTTCATATTTGTTTGCGTACCAGATCCTGTTTGCCAAATAACTAAAGGGAAGTGGTCTTTGTATAATTTACCAGATATTAACTCGTCGCAAGCCTTAGAAATATTTTCAGCTATTTTGCTATTCAACCCATATTCTCTGTTCACCTCGGCTGAGGCTTTTTTTAATATTCCCATTGCTATTATTATTTCTTTTGGCATTTGCTCCCTTTTTCCTCCAATTGGGAAATTTATTTTTGAACGAAGAGTTTGAGCTCCATAATACTTATCAGCAGGAACTTGCAGCTCCCCAAAAGTATCGGTTTCCTTTCGATATTTTATATCTTTTGTTTTATCGCTATTAGTTGTACTACCAAAATTCTTCCCTTTATTATGAGTATCATTGAAAAATGTTCTTCTTTCCTTTAATGTTGGCGACACGAATCTAAGATTTTTAAAAACCATTTTGAGCATAGAAACTGAATGAATGTGTGCATAAGTATACCTACATATTTATTTTTATTTTGAAATTTGAATCAGTGACGGAATAGAAAAATATACTGAGTAAAGATCAAACAAATTTTGTATTTCTGTAAGGGTTAGTTCTAAGTTCTTAGAATTTTCTATTCAGCTTAATATTCAAATTATGTATTACTCGGATTTAACATTATAAAAGTTTAAGTTAGCGATTTAGTTAGACATCACAGGCCACAATAAAGTAAATTTTTGTACAGCTGATACACTGGTACTATAAAACGATACATATAAGTAAAGCAATGTTTTAGGATAGTAAACTTTATAAAATAAGGACAGCAAACAGTAAAGCAGAACTAATTGCACTCTTATGTACTGAAGCGATACGGCGTGCAGCCACCACAAGCAACAAACGGTACATTGCACATTAATGGGAATTCTTAACACCAATTGCTAACCAACTTACCTGTTGCCGCAAGATTGCGAAGAAATTACTTCAATACTGCACTGGATGTGCCGGTTCGATTGCTATCTAAACGACAACTAAGCAACAACATTAATCATACAATGCAGTTGTAAAATAATGTAAAACAAAATTCGCTCGCCATAGCTAAAGTCATACATTTAGACAAGGATAAAAAAATTAAATTCATTATGAACCAGTTACTTACAAAAAATAAATAAAAGAATAAACTATATTGAAACTACGAGCTCGATTCGGCTGAACAGTATTTTTCTAAGAGAATCTCCTACGCTTGAAATTACTTGAGTCATCTCTAAACCAATTTCAATGGTGGTATATCTTCCAATAATAAGCGAAATCCGTGCGTACCGCAGTAATCCTTATATTGACTCCATATATATCCGGTAAATTTCATTCAAAAAATCTATGTTTTAACGGTTCCGTCGGAATTTAGCCTTACTTCTATACATTTTCTTCAGAAACACATGTTTCCGTAATACTCCATAAAAAAAGAAATATGAGATGAAAAGATTTTGCCCTGCCTGAAAGATCAATAGAATAATGTCAATGTTTCATGACATTTCTTTCCAACTATCCGCAAGCTACTGGCTTCAATGCTTCATTACTCTGATAGTTTTGTTTACAAAGGAAAAATACGAATTTCTTGTTTTGATAAAATCGAAGGATATGGAGATTGTGAGGCAGAATATTTTCATTAAATAAAATACTCTTTTATTGTTAGGCCAAAGGCTTTTCTATGCATTATATGTGTACACATATGTATGTAACCAAATTTTTATGTTTGCTTCAATGAGTAAAACTATGCATTTAAACAAACTTCGTGTATTTAAAAAAAGCAATAAATTTATTGAAATAAACTTTATTATAATGTTTGTGAAATAATTAGTTACACTAGACTAATAATGACCATGCCTTGAATGTAAGTAAAGCACCATCTGAATTATGCAGCGAAGCATTATAAGTAAACATGCAATCGAATTAACTTAACCACGAGAAACGTAGCTTAATTATAAGTTAAAGTAGAAGAAAATGTAGTTTGCACAAATTAGTTTTTATATTTACCACAGATCGTTGGTACAGGATTTATTAACTAAGTACGTACCATATATGTATGTCTATACATATGTATATTATGTATTAGGTTGTCAAAAAAGTCTTGCTTTATTTTCGCTAGTTGGCGCTGAGAGTGCGTAGTTCTAGTTTTATTCGKCGCATCGGGTTATGCTATACCTTTTTGGAAAGCTCATTTCACGCGCTAACACGTGTTTGATTGATTGTCGTTTCTTTTAAGTCGTTCGTGAGTTATAGCGTCGCAAGCATGGAGCAAAATAAAGAGAAAATATGGCATATTTTACACTACTACTACGATAAAGGCAAAAATGCATCTCAAGCCGCCAATAAAATTTGTGCAGTTTTTTGACCCGATACAGTTTCCATTTCCACTGCACAACGATGGTTTCAACGTTTTCGTTCTGGTGTAGAGGTGGTCGAAAATGCGTCACGCTCCGGAAGGCCTGTCGTAGAAAATTGCGATAAAATCGCTGAATTGGTCGAAAGAGACCGGCATTGTAGCAGCCGTAGCATCGGTCAAGAGCTGGACATGAGTCATCACAAACAATATATTAAGAATGATACTATATATGCAATGAAATAGATTTATTTAAATTTTAATACTCTTTCAACCAGGTGCAACAGAGTGTTAAGGTTTTGTCCACCTAACGCTTGTACGTAAATAAAAATAGATATAGGGTTATATATTGTAAATAAATGATCAGAATGACAAGAAAAGTTGAAATCCGTCCGTCCGTCCGTGCAAGCTGTAACTTAAGTAAAAACTGAGATGTCTCGATGAATACATCTTAGTACAAAAAAGTTACGAGTTCGTAGATGGGCGCAATCTGACCGCTGCCACGCCAACAAATCGTTATTAACCGAAACCCTATAAAGCGGCATGACTAAATACTAAATTAAGATAAAAACTCTAATTTGGTAAAGAAGATCGCAGTAGCCAGGGGCATCTTTAGGCAAACATTTCCGAAAAAGTACAAATCTCCTAAACCATTTAAGCTACAACAACCAAATTTACTAAGTACAAATCTTATATGAACATCTGCCCCAGTGTGAAAACGGATGAAATCGAAGCATAACCCTGCTCACTCCGCATATAACGGAACTGTTAAAAACTATTAAAAGCACCATAAAACAATAACTAAATACGTCAGATACGTTAAAATTTATCTCCGAGATATGAGTAATATCGGTCGATGTATGGGATATACAGTTGAAATTCAGAGAGAATCCTTTCTTAGCAATAGTATTTCCGTGTATCAACTGTGTGTTATGTATGTATGTGTTAAATCGGATCAACACATTCCGGCCTTCCTGGTGACTTTATGCTGCAATATTTGGGTTATCTCAATGGAACTTACAAAGCGTGTTTTACTCATAACAGCGTATCTTTGTGCGTAAAATAAATAAAATTGGACGAAAACTTGGTCTATCTTCCATATTAGTAATATCAGAATTTTCCGACATCCGGCTGACTTTACTCGATGTGATTGGTGGTTGTATGTAATGTACCTTTATGAAACCCAGGGAAATTTTTTGCAGTAATTCAGTAGATAACTTCGGATTGATACTACGTCAACTAAAATATACTACATATAATCCTTTTGTTGACATATTACTCCTTAAGGTATATCCCTGGCTTTGTTTTCTCCAAGTTGGAAGTGTATAAAAGTTCGGCTGCACCCGAACTTAGACCTTCCTTACTTGCTTTTCTTTCATATTGAATATTCCTACTATAATATATTAGAGTTTTCTCGTACTATTAGTACATTAAGTACTTCGATGTTGCTGTTGTAATTAGTCGAAATTGAGCGAGCATCAACTATGACCGAAACAGTATTAATGTATGTACATACCTATGCAAATTTAAAGCCACAGTGATTTAATAAAGTCACATTCCAGTCCTTAATTTTTATTTCACTCTGTTTTATTATGTGTATACATATGTATATGCACAGTATAACATGATGTGAGATAATGGACGTTCCAATATACAGTATGTGGTCAGTCATGCAGATTTTGCAAAGATAAAAAAAACTATTAAGAGAAATTAATTTATACACTACATATATTTCATCTTGGTCTTCTTTGCGAGTGTGAAAAAATATTAAACTGAAACTAACATAAATTTTTAATATAAATTCTAAATATTTAAGAACTAGGATTTCATTAGACATAAAAATAAAGTCACAACCCAAAAAGAGCTTTTGTTTTAACAACTCTGTTTAAAACATATTTTAAAATTAATATTTCGTAGAACATCCTTTATTAATAATTACGTCCATGCAACGTTTTGGGTTCGTGTGTATTTGTCTATGTCACCTTTCATTGCTCTCATTGATTAGACCATCTTCTAGGCATGACACTGTACATACATTCATATGTATAGTAAATACACATTTAGACGAATATCTGTGTGTACATAAGATATTACAAAAAGTGGCAATGAACTTTGTCAACATGGTACAAACAGCGTGCCATTTATACGTACAGATTTTGTATACACACATATTTTTGTATAAAAGCAATAATAAGTAGTCATCATAATGGTACTCAAATGTTCTGTTATGAACGGATTGGTATTATTGATTCTTGCTGCTTATTAAAAGGCATCTCCACATTGCTTACGATAGCTGGCGAGCTACGAGTGAAAATAATATAAAAGTACTTTGAGAGCAGGTTTGTTTAATGTGGTTCTCAGCCCTGGTTACACTATAGTCTCAAAACTGTTCCGCTAGTGTGTACATACATTTCTATTGTGGCCCTGGTGATCATTCTCACAGTTAGGTAATTCGTCAGTTCATAATCGCAAATCGTCATTTGGCACTTAGCACCATCGACATATGTATAAACATATATGTATGTATATATGCATGCTACGTATGTATGTATGCCCAAACTAACTAAAAATAACAAACAAAAAATAAGAAATATTAATTCTGTTTACCTAAATATAAACGCATATGGTGATTATCCATATGCATGTAGATTATAGTTGATGGTCTACTATAGTCACAAATTTAAACTTACATTGATTCACTTTCATAAAATGTAGATAGATATCCAAGTATGAATAAATATATTTCATTAAAACTAGCCACTTCAGTGAAATTTTTGGCAAAGAACTCACCATAAAGTTTGTACCCTGCATTTGGGTTTTCCTTTACTTTAAATACTTAATAAAGCTCTTCATGTACATATGCATATGTACATACATAGATTCTTCTATAAATGAGTGGATTTATCATTAAAAATGCTTTAAAAAATATGCATTTTAGATTTCCTTAGAAATGACGATAATAAATACTAATTACATTCCGAAATTCCTAAACATGAAAGGCAATGAAATTGTTTAACAAATAACAGTAAGAGTAGTATTATTATTTAACTAAAGAGAATATCATTATATAGATTTATGTATGTATGTGTATATTGATTTATCTCGGTTTACACCAATTGCAGAAGTACTCGTACACCCAATGATATTATAAAGCAGTCATCAATTGCAGTGCCTAACGACAACAAACAGACTTTCTTATCATTCATCAACATCTGCACTGTGAGATCTCACCACGCCTGTTGAGCAAGCAAAAGCAGCAATCACAAACCGTTTGGCGACGGTAATGATTTTGTGATGTGTAAATCACTATATACAAAACAAATCTGTAATACAACAGAGATTTTTCATCAATTAATAATTACGCTAACTTCAACAGTAGCGGTGATAGCTGTGCCAATAGATCATGGATAAATTGTTATAGTTTATAACCGAATCAATAACAACAAAATATAAGCAGATCGCATAACAGTTATAAAAAATTTGATTATTTGCGCTGCCATTATTATCAGATATTGCAGGTTTTACTGCTATTAACATCGGTCTTAGTTGTCCAAAAAATGATCAGTGAACAGTCTCTAACGCTGGCTTTTCGTGGTGGATTTAGTTTAATCGATAAGCAATTGAGGGGTGTTGGTGCAAATCCGATTACTTCCTCTTCAACCACAAGGGCTGTCGCCTATCAATATTTGGACTTAGCAGCGTCATCGGAGATCAGTAATGTATTAAATATGGAGTCAGCGGCAAGTAGTACAATTAAAAATTGTAACACTAATTCAAATATCGTTAACCGGAATAACTGCAGTAATAATATAAACAGCAAAGTAATGATTAATCAAGTGCCTAATGCTCTCAGTGTTTCTGCTGGTGGTGTAGCTAATGCAAACAGTTCTTATCAGAAACATTGCCCCCAATCGGAATCATTGCAAACAAATCCTCAAAAACAACAAACAGCTCAAAAGAAACAACTACAAAATAACTCTAACAATGTGAAGAGTGAAAGACTTAGTCCAGGCACTAACGGAGATCATCAGTCATCAATATCGAGGTATAATAAAAATTGGAAAATGTGCATATTATAATGACTTCAGATGCACTGTAGCTTTAACACGCAAACCCGCCACTATATGTACATATAACTTAATTTGAAAATTTAACCGGTCAAAGGTTTGCATCCAACAGGAAGTGTTTTACTAGTTCTTTCTATCCATTGTTTTATACTAATAATCTTCAGGTCAAATTAGAGTTACTTAAGAAGGAAAACATACCTTTATGGAAGATCTTTATATTGATTTTTATCGGTCAAAATGAATGGGAGCTGTATGCTGTAGTGATCCGATCTCAACAATTTGTTCGGAGATTTTAGCGTTGCATTGGGCAATAATCTCAAAATTTCAGATCGATATCTCAAAAACTGAGGGACTAGTTCGCATTTATACAGACAGACGGACATGACAAAATCAACTCAGCTCGCAACCCTGTATATGTATGTATACTTTGTATGATCTCCAACGTTTTCTTCTATGTGTAACAAACTTCGTGGAAAAATTAAAATACTCTACTCAGGGTATAAAAATACGAATTTGCCAAGTTTAGCTATTTAGAAAATAAAATGTTGTAGATATTATATCTTAAAAGTAAGAAAATAAATAGAGCTTATGCGACTCTTAGCATATTTGAAAACATTTAATTAAACATAATTAATAATTTATGAATTATAGAAACCAAACAAGACTATGGTATCTTAAAAAAAAATACTTCCATCTTTGCTTACTTTTATGGAATTACATAAATATAGAAATGTATACGTGAGTATAGTATATTAATATTCATGAGTGATATATCACTGAACACCTACATACTACATATGAAATACACATGTATATCATGAGTAAAAACAGAAGGACTAACACTTAAATTATAATTATTCCAATATCTTATGTTCTTCATTTTGCATATTATATTAAATTTTCTTATATTGACATATCGTTTATATGTATTTTTTTCTTTCATTCACGGACATTCAGATCCCGAAGCACCACACCTTCATCGTTCCGTGGTCCTTCGCCACAACAAATTTCTTCAGAAGCCCTAATGCCACTAACTTCGCTCTTACGTATTCAAGAAGTCACGTCTGGGCATCAAACTCCTTGCGTTACTGCCGCTAGTACCGATACAGCTAATTTAGGAAACACAACGACTGTGTTCCAGACAGATTTCTCGTCGAGGAACTATTCCGATATTATGCGCAGTTTAGCAGCGAAATATAATGATGTCAACGCAATAAAGTAAGGATAAAATCATATATATAGTGAAAACTGTATTTAATAGTCCTTGGTTTTACTAAAATTTGTTAGCTCCATTTCGACTCGTTGTAATCCATTTTTTGATACTACATCGCCGACTTCTTCTATTCCTATTGTCAACAAAAATGTAAATCAGAAAAGTGGCAATAGAAACGTTGTTGGAGCTTTGTCGGGTCCCTTGACGAGTAAAGATGCATCGCCTCAATTGATACCTCGATTATCCATGTCTCAAGGTGATGTAGCGGTAGCGGCTGCAGCCGCTTCGTTTCTAAGTAGTCTTCCATTCTCACAAAATGTATGCCTCCCAATGATCGATATGAGCAGTACTCAAGCGTTGATTACTTTGGTAAGCTGTTTATTAAAAATGTAAAAATCTTGCATTTTCATTTTTACATTAGAACTTCTTGTCCAAAATATTATCTCCATTGGTATTAATGTAGGCGCGTGCAGCTAAAGAAGCAGAGGTACAGACCATACTTCGCACCTTCCAGCAAGACTCGAAACAAATGAACTCCAATTCAATCTTATCGCATCCTAACCTTGGTGTAGCATTGCAACAAGCCGCTCAATATGTATCTCCTGCACTCAGTCTTCCTGTGCTGCAGAAACAGCAGCAGATTGCACCTTCACAACAGTCTAGTCCTCTACATAAATTAATATCTGCTTCGACTAGCTCCACTATTTCAACATCCAAAAGAAAATCAACAGCTCCCTCAAGCACAACGACCGTACCGCTTGATTTGAGCTCTCAACCACCAGCGACTAAAAGATTTAAGGTGGAATTGAACACAGCAAGTCAAAGTAACGAATCATATGGGTTGAATGTATCTATGGGACGTGTGTCATCAAATGAAATAAAAGTTTCCTCATCACCAATATCTGAAAACAAATTTGTCACTGATTCCACGAAGAATAATGCCCGCTTGTCCTTTTCACCAGAACTATCCACACCATGCAATACTGCTATTCTAAAATGTCAAGCTGAAAGTGTGGAAATTGCCCAATGGACAGTGGATGACGTGTGCGCTTTTGTAGGCGATATTGATATCTGCGCGGACTACGTTCAGGTACGTTCGTATATTTATACTTATCGTATAACTGTTCTTCTTACCAATTTTATTAATTAACTCAAAATTTTTTATTAACTATACATTTCTTTTATGGCACTTTTTATCTTTAAACAAGTGCTACTTTTAATAAGCAGTACAGTTATTGTAAACTTCGATTCCCTAAAAATAAGAGTCGTAAATAAGAATTGCGATTCTTTGCGAGTAAATCAAAATAAAAACATCGTCATCTAAGCATAGTTGTTTGAACGACTTATTCTGAGACACTTTATATGCAGGCCAAGATCTTACATTTTGCACCCATTCACATTAATGTGCATAAATGTGTTCATCATTCATTCTTCAAGAACTGGATATTTGACACTACTATTACTATTACTGTATATGTGTACATATGTACAATATAAATAGATATGCTTGTCTTCGTAAATATTTCTTTAACTCAAGTATATAGAAAATGCAGTGGCCATTAAGTATAGCCAGCTATCACATTCTAGAGCGCTAGGCTGTCCATGCATCGTCAAATATGCGTAGTCGACCTATGTTGGCTGGACTTGAAGCTGCATGTCACACCGCTTTTGAACTAAATTGGAAAGCAGTTGGAGTAAGAATATTAAATTATATTTATGGCTACGACGACACTTGAATATCTCGTTGAGATGTTGCCATCAGTAGCGCAACGGATGCTGTCGATTTTCATATACATACATATATACACACAGATACTATATTTTTCTATGTGTTGTTACATATGTACATACTTTGTTACTGTTCATGCGCTTGTCAAATACCTGATATCGTCGTACACCTCCGTATAACCACTTTGGTAAACTTGTATTTGCAATGTTACGCCTTTATTATATCCGCCGGGTCGTTTACTTTGCTAGGTAACTCACCTTCATTTCTCCTTGCTATGTAAGTAATGGTAACACTGTGTATATAAATATAGGTACATACATGTATGTTATTGCTGTTTATTGCCTGGTCCTACTTTTGTTTGATCAGCAAACCATGGCTTATATATTGTTAGATCTAAATGTATAATAAAAACGGAAATGAAAATTATGTATGACATTCGATGTACTTAGAGAGTGTAACAAATTTGGCAACATGCTACCGTTTGCGTTAGAGGTTCAATACCATTTGTGCAATGATTTTCAAATCCCATTCCTCTCTTTCATCATTTTCGGAGTTTTTTTATCAAAAATGTCGATTCGTATTTTCAGTCCAACCTCCTCATTAGCGATTCACATCGATTGTACAAAGTTGCTCCTCGTGTTAGTCAATCAATCAGCGAGTTAAGCAAAGATAAACTTTAGCACCTAGATTTATTTCCGTTGGAAAGTACAAACGGTCTCGTTACAATTTGACATTCCGCTTGCTATGAGAATTCCATTAACAAAGAATCTTTGATAGGCATGTTGCCAATGATTATGGTGCACATTGTATTACTTACCTAAAAATCAAAATTTAGGTTAAGATATTTGTTTAATTTCATGTAAACTAAGGGGGATATCCATAACCATAAACGCACTACACTACCCTTAAATTTGTAACTTATGCAAATCAAAAGAAAGCTTAATAATACAAGTATATGTACATATATAGTAATTATTTATTAACATGTTTGTATCAATAAAAATAAAACTATTATAATTTGTTTTATGCAGCATTTTCGTGATCAATGCATTGATGGCAGTGGATTACCCTTGCTAACTGAAGATCATTTGCTTAATTCCTTGGGTATGAAATTAGGACCCGCATTAAAATTACGGTCAAAATTAGCGAAGAGACTCGGTGGTCCATGCCCATGTGTGGCATGCATTACACGAGCACGGCAAATGCTAGTTTTACAAGCAGAATCTATGAATGATCAACCAAAGACAGCTATAACAATGTCTACCGAGTGTTCTCCAACAGAAATTAGTACTATAAGATGTGAGGAAAGTATTGAACTTCCCAAACTCAAAGATACAATTGATTCAACAAAAGAAACCTTTAAAAATATACAGAAGGGTTCGCAAAATCAGCAGTTACTTGGGGAAGGACGAGAAACGAAGAGATGCAGCATTAATGACAATAATGAAAGAACCAACAATTGTAGCTCACTTAAAGTACAAATATGCGCCAACATATATAAAAATGAAGCAAACAACAACCATCACAACAATGACGAAGTAAATGTTGAGAATTTTATTACCGGAAGAAACGTTAATGACAAAACATCTGGTTACGTTCTCAATACCACTTTTAAACAACAATCTAATGATATCTGTTTAAGTAATATAAAAAGTTCTTCTAACAGCAACGTCGCACTGGGAAGTCAGATTGGAAATTTATCAGAAGAAGGTAGTTAGTCTTAGATCTATTACTGCTTTTGTTTACAATTTGAATAAAGTTCTTTTTTTAAATTTTCATGTGTACAAGAGACAACATTTTATCAGTTTTTGAAAATTTTTTGGAGTAAAATATGTATAAAAAAAACAAAACTCTAACACTCTCAAAAACCTAGCAATAGTTGTTAATTTTAATTTTCTCTTAATAAATATAGTAAAGCATAAAATGTGTATAATAATAGTCAGTCCATTTGTGCATGTCGCAGTAAGAATTTTCATAATTTGTAGTAAGGCGAGCATGCCGATAACTTTTAATTTAATAGTAGATTTTACATCTCTACCGATTGCATAAATCTTACAAAAAATTAAATTGAGAATTTATTAGCTATTATTAAGGGCGGGTAAGGTTTTAAAGGTCAACAAAGAAATTTTTTACGAATTTATTTCTTATATAGATTGCGTAATTTTATTCGGACCTTTTGCACATTATAGAACATACTTTTGAGAATCTAGGGAAATTTTTTCATGCAGAAATATTGAAGCATAAGCCGGTAACAGAGTTTTTCGTCTTAAGAAAAAATCACTTTGCGGTGGTCACCATAACTCGGCTGAAAATTATCCGAAAATAAAAAACCAAGAAAAATTAGTCAGGTTAATCAAATCGTCCCCCTATCGTTCTCTGATAATTTTTCTTTCATTTGCCGKCAATTTAAAGTGAAAAAACAAAAAATTTTAAAAACGAGGAGGGCGAGGTATTTTATGTGTCAAAAATGTCTACAAAGTTTGAAATGAATCGGTAAGGTAGTTTTGAAATGACAGAAGTAGTTTTGAGAAAAACGTGTCTAAAATTTATAAACTAAAAAAGTGAGAATATACCCTATATTGTCAAAAGTGTGCTCAATAATGAACGAAAGGTCCGAATAAAATTTCTCGCAAAAAAGTAATTTTTTCTTACCATTAAAACTTTACCTCCCCTCTTTAAGCAAAATAACTAATCATAGTACTTTTAAAATTTGACGATGAAAAAACAAATAGAATAAATAAAATTCGAGAGCGAATGGATGTAGCATAATTGTAAAATATAAATGTAATGTAACAATAACTAAAGCACTTTTAAAAATGTTCGCGTTCAACTACAAACGAGACTACGAAATTTTCACTGTTCAGCCGTTTAATAAATGTAAATATTTACATATATAAAGCATTTATATCTACTCATATTTATGAGTCGTAAAGATTTCATAAATCATAAATTTTGATTTCCAGTTTTTTAAATAGTATATTCTTTTATATTGGTTGCTCTTCATTGAATGTACATTTAGCAATATAAGTGAATATTATAAACAACAAGAGATCAAAGTCTTCCACTGATATTGTTATAAATAAAATATTTAAGCAGGAATCTTGAAATATATAATATGTATATGTAATTTCTTTTAAAGACAAGAGTACATATATGCAAAATTTTTTGAAGGATTCTTGTAATTATTATTAAAATGAATATTATTTCATTTATATGCTGTCACTATACTTGTGAGTAATTTTTAAAGCCGAAATCATTTATTAGTCAAATTAATATGCAAACTACCTTCTGTATCCACCCTATAAAAAGTACTTAAGTTTCTAGAAACATTCAGTTTAGAATGTAATCTTTAGTGTAATGTTCGTTTATATTTAAGGAATAAGCAATATAGTCAACTTTGATACAATACACATATTATACATATATATATTTTAATAAATTACTGATTTATTGATAAGTTATTTATTGCTAGTCAGTATAAGATTATCAATATTTAAAGATATAATCGTGCGCTTTATGCAAAATGCCAAAATTTGTTCAACATATCTTTATGAAATTAAAATATCCTTAGCACTCATAAGTCGAAGTCTTTTAAATACCGATTTCAGTTTGATGCTCTACTATGTACATAGATCGACGTAGTCAATTTCAGTTAAATTTGTACAGAAATCTTACATTATATCTTTTATGTACAGTACTTGTCCAAAAACTTACGAACGAAAGCAAAAATTTAAAGCTTTTAAGGGGCGACAAAATATTGAATATGATTCAATACTAAAATATAATAATTTAGGTTTAAAGTATATAGCATTAAAAAAATTTTTTTTTTTCTAAAATACGTTAAATATTTATGTTTTTATTAATAATTAAAGTTAGAGCTCTGCATATTTTTTTCTTCGTTCGTAATTTATTGGACAAGTACTCTAATACTTATTTTCTAAAGGTATGTATTACATAACAGCAAATTCTATTCTAGGATTGATCTTCTATTGAACGAGAGCTTTAATAAACTAAAAATGAGACGCTAATAAGCTAACACTTTGACAAATCATATATGTGCATACATATTTATAGAAAACGGTCCAGTTTGGTTGATTGATTGCATATAATATATAATTTTTCATTATTTTCTTCAATATTTTAAAAAGAACACTTTGAAATCTAGGATATCAAAAACAAAATTGTGCGTATTCAATATTGAAATCAAATACAATAATGTCCCGCCTATCAAGAGTGAGTATTGAGTTTGGTATAATTGTGAAATGTAATGTGTTTGTGTTTTAACTATTTTTTTCTACATTACATCAATACTTCACATTTCAATCTTATCAGTATTGGCAGTTAGATATAATGGGTGTAAGAGAAAGCAAAAGGGGTCAGACACACAAAAGCTTTGTATGTCACAAAATTTTTTAGAGAAAAATAAAATAAAGTTTGCTAAAATCAATCTTTACATTACATGCAGAAAACAAAAAGTAATTACTACTGACTTGTCTTCAAGTTTAATACTATTTAATTCACAAATATTTAAAAGTTATAATACTAATTGATGGTATGATTTTTTCGCGTTTTTTAATTGATATTAATTTTGGGATCATGTTTACTAATTAATATCTATATAAATAAAAATAAATCGCCAAAATGTATATACGCTCATAACTTTCATACGACTNTATCTATATAAATAAAAATAAATCGCCAAAATGTATATACGCTCATAACTTTCATACGACTGAGCTAAATTTGATAATTTTTTTTTAATGTAGCCGTTGGGGTTCAAGGGTCGTTTTTACTGCAAGAAAATTTCGAATAATTTCCGGGAAACCCCTAAAAACAGCCCATTTCTTTTTCCCATACAAACGAACGAATGTTTGTTTGTTACGGGGCATCTCGACAGGATAAAATATATGTCTTACTAACTGTCAAATCTATTGCTATTGCCATTGCAAAATCTGTATGTGGGCATTTGTTATCATAACATAATCATTTGCGCAAAGGCGTGGGGTAGGTAGGTTCGAGCTGATGTAGTGCATGTTTTGAGCTCTTGAACTGTTTAAATCTTTTATGGGGAAAATAAAAAAAAAGGATTACGATCGTTTTTTTTTTACAAATGTATTTCTGGGAAAAATAAGAATTCATATTTTTTGACTACTATATAATAATTGTGGCATACATTTTATATACCAATTAAAATAATAAATTTGAAATGAGCAAAGATATTTTGATTTATTCTTGTATAAGTTTTTTAATTTAAGACTTCGGTCATTCCCAACCCAATTTGCATAATTTGCCATAAATTAATTATTAAACTAAATATTAATTTTTGGGAAAAATGTTATTTTGAAAATGTACTTTATTTTCATAATATAATACAGTCGTCTTAATACTCGCTCTACAAAATTTCATATTAAAGAAACGAAAATGCCGTCGGCATATGTGCAAATGGGATATGTTGCCTATTAGAAATTTTCATAGAAATGAAAACTGCGCTGTCAAACTGCTGAAGTGACAGCTTATTGCTTACAATATATGCCAAACTAATTAGTATTCCATATATTGTAAGCAATAAGCAATATGGAGTCTCCACAGGCAATAGGCACGACATACAGTTAGTAAGACATAGATTTTATCCTGTCGAGATGCCCCGTTAGCAACGCTAAGTGAACGGCTGCACCAATCTTTATGAAATTTTCAGAGGTTATTCGTTGTGGATCAGGGAAGGTTTAAAAATAAAAATACCTTATATTTTTCATGAGAAAAAATCGGAAAATTGGATAGTTCCTAAAATGAATCGTTCATTTTGGAAAAATTATTGAAAATTATTCACTAAAAACTTTACATATGTGTTTCACGCAAATCGATCAATTGCAGATTGAAATTTGTTACGAAGCCACGAAAAGGTCGCCCTAATATCGGTCGGCGTTTTTTTTTTTTTTTTTGAGCAACGTATGGCAACAAAAGGCAAGGCAAGGCTAGAAGTACTCCCAGGATGCGATAACATACGTGCCGAATTAAGGATCGCGGTTAATCAACAATCGATCGTCACGATGTCATCGAGCAACTTTTCAAACAACAGTTACGAGGTTTGATCGTGCTGTTGGATGCTAGATGTGCTCTGTTGAGTGGCAAAAAAGAGGTTTGCACGTACACATTCTTCTTTGGATGGTGGTTACAACAGATCAAATTGATGAACTCATTTCTGCGGAAATTCCTGATGCAGAGAAAGATCCAGTATTATTCGTAGTGGTGGAAACCAATATGATTCAAGGACCTTTCGAACATTACAATCCCTTTTCGGTTTGTATGACTGACAATAAATGCACGAAACACTATCCAGCACTCAATTTAGAAGAGTGAATATCAAAGTTAACAACACATGGATCGCACCACATTCGCCATTATTTTCTAATTCACATTCAAAACTCATATCATTGTTGAGTATTGCAGTTTGGTGAAATCGATGAAATAAGTTTGTAAATACGTCACCATGGCGGGTATTGGTCTTGAACGAGATGAAATCAGCAAGTATTCAATGGTCGATACGTGAACTGCAATAAAACGCTTTGTAGGATATTTACTTTTGCAATTCATGAACGTTTTCCGACCGTTGTGCGTCTCGCAGTTAATTTGGAGAATGGCCAAAGAGAATATTTCAACTCAGAGAATAGAGTATAACCAATGAAAACACCGTCAGCAACAAAATTAACATTTACGAGTTTTTTTTTTTTTCAACTTTCGCCAGCGATCTGTTTGCGAGAAGAAATATCTTGACATACATGGAATGCATCGAAGAAATAGTTACACAGGAAGGCAAACCAGTAGATTGATATCCAGGTATGTTCTCATCTAATTCCTTAGGACGAATTTATACAATCTACCCGTAAAAAGACGATGGTTTCTACCTTCGATTAATATTCGCGATTCAACTTAATTTGAGTCATTGCAAACTGTGAATGTTACGGTGTGTGCAAGTTTTGGAGAAGTAAGCTAGCGAACAAAAATAATATTGCCAAAGACATTGTGTTCCTCGCATGATGCGTTAGTATCTGCTATCTTTATCGATAATCCAGTTACATTTCATCGATTAGATGTGAAGTTATTACGTTTTAAGTGTCAGTATGTTTGTGTTCTTATCCCGTTTCAGAGTGCACGAGTGGTTTCAACGTTTTCAAAGCGGTCATGAGGACATAAATGACGATCAACATGTGGACCAATTAAAATCCATGATCACTGGAAATTCCATYRAAACTGTGCGTGAATTCATCAAAAATCAGCCGAAATCATCAATAAAATTCATAGGCATAGGCCAAGATATATTCTAATTCCATTCTAATTTTGCTGCGAATCACATCGTTTTTAAGAAAATTTGTCAATTTTATTTCATTAATATATCACACATTTTGTGGAACCTCAGTGATTTAAATAAAGGTGGAAAGACAGAAATCATTTAATGGGGTATATTGGTGGCAGAGAAAGGGACAGGCTCATTGTATTTATTTTGACATTGCTCAGGTAGACTCGGGAACATAGTTTGAAGCTATTTTATATCACTAAATAGTATAAAACAAAGTAGTTTTCTCTGTCACTACATCCCTTTGTATGCTTAATTCTTTAAAACTTCGTAACGGATATTGATTTTTTTAATAGATAGAGTGATTAAAGAGGAAGATTCATATGTATAATAGCATCCATTAAATAGTGGAGAAATGCTGTTATTTTTGAGGTTTCTAATGTGGCGTCGTAAATAACTACATTTTTCCGCTTTCATTGTAAAAGAGGGGTCCAGCCTACTAGATTTATCAAAATAATGTACAAAATATGGTACACATTGAAAAGGTCTACAGAAAACTTCTCTCTATGTCATTGTTGATTAAATATACATAGATCTTTATATATGTCCTTTTACAGCATATGATTTAAATAAATATTTTCGAAGATATTACAGATTTAAAAATTGCGGGACGTAGCGTTTGCGGCGCTATCGGCTGGCCGGGGTGGTGGGAGCATGTCTATAAATATCACGTCGGAGGGACGTGCCAACCGACTTTTTCGTCGTTCCACGCTTGAGAAGCGGTTCTACATACGCAGTCCACTAGAATGACTGTCGATTGGACTCCAGTGTGGAATGATGGATCCATGTTTCTATTGTCACACACCGACATAAATATTCGGTTCTATTACCATTAAAGAACACTCAAACAGTCCGTAAAATCAGCAATTCATTATTTTTGTTAGATTATGAACATGTAGGGCATCCATTTTGCACATAGCTTTCACCTATTTAGGGCGTCATTAAACTTGGTGCTCATTCGTCTCTTTAGTACTTAACAAATATGTTGTCGGTTGATTTCCCTGGTGCAGAGTCAAATTCAACAGTATTTTCCCCCAAAAAGCAATGCTTTATTAACACACGAAATGATTTATGATCCATTTTTTTGTAAGCTAATACGAGTTACTTTACCAAAATGATATATATCATTAACTAATAGTTATCATATAGAAATCATATAGATTGTCATAGTAGTATTAAATATGTGTCAGCCACAGTAAAGCGTGGACGGGTCCTAGAGTATACGTATAAATAATATTTATTTACTGACATATTCGGTGTTAAACTATTTAGACTAACGAAAATCATTGTAAGTAATATATGAGTGTTGGGTAGAATTGACACGTGTTTGCCAATACTACAAACAATTCCATGCCCTTGACCAATAAAATAATCTACTATCATATGAAGTAAAATCAGACGGATCGAAAATCCTGATGATGGATGGGAGCTAGGTCAAGTTTTCGCCCAATTTTATTTATTTTAGGCACTGTTATGAGTAAAAAATGAGCCGGGGCGTTGTCGTGGCTTTATTTTGGATTTGCTCATTCATCAGCGACCTCTTCCCGGAACGCCCTCTACCTATTCCAGTTGGTGCGCACACGCTCCAAAGTACAGTCGCGGCGGAAGAAAATCAGTCCTATTACTTTCCAGACAAACCCTGTGCTTTCAGTAAAAATCAACTGGAACTGGAACTGGAGTCCACAAATTTGGTATTTAAGCCCCTAGATTTTGTTTCGATTTGGACATTTTTATTAATTGCTTCTTGATTTGGTACGGTACAAGTCTTTTAAATGGCCTCTACATCTGCATAACTTTCATGGGCAAATGCATTTTTCTGAAAAGGAAGAACGCACCTTGTATATAAAGCCTTATATCTTTATTTAGATTAGTTTTAGTCAAGCAATAGTATTTTTTCTGTTTTTGGAAAAACTCAATAAATTTAGAATCTGTTTCATTATAAAAAAGCAAATACAATGGGATAAATTATGGTGGTACGACGAATGAAAAAAAAAATCAAATAAATTTAAATTAAATGTAAAAAAAATTTTAAACATTAATTGAATCGAAAGTGGAGGACCTTGTCCACCAGTTGATTAGTAAATATATTTTCATTATGCTCCAAACGGAAGAGGTAACGTCTGCTAAATTCTTCGATTGTTTCCTTTACAGTGAACAACTTCAGATCCCATTGGAGGACATCGTTTTTCACATAGAAAGGAGAGCCCACTATGGTGCGCAGATCTTTTTTTATTTAGCTTGAATAACTTTTAAATTTGAATTCGTTACACTGCCTTATAAATAAGCAACTTATTCTTAAGACTGAGGAATGATCTTCACCTAATTAGCCAGTATAATGCTTGTGTTTGTTAGGAGCAATTGATCACATAAAGCCACCTGAGAACAATTTTTGTTCTTAAAGGTATATACTACTTGTACGAACTTTTAGGTGTTAATGCCAATGTTCCATTTCCATCTGCAGTTACTGGAAGCAGTATTTTTTTTACCACTGCCAGCAGTGTAGTAGCATCAGCATAGGTTGACGTCATTGTGGAGTCAGAGTTGATCACTGAAATGTCTGCTGTATAAAGAATATAGAAAACTACGACGAGTACACTGCCTTGCTGCGCCACAACACGAACAGGTCTCAAAGGCCCGATTATGCAAGTAATACTTCAGCAGCACATAATAAGGCATTGGTGGTTTTTTATTTAATTTGAATAATAAGCCTAGATGACAGACTTTGTCAAATACTTATCAGACATTAGGGAACACGTCAGATCAGTATTTATTATCAGTAATGAAGTGTTCTCCTCCATTACATTGTTCAATTGTGCCTTACAATTTTCTGAAGTCATACTGATGATTCGCAATAAGCTGCATGCCTTCTAACACCGTGTTTAAGAATTAAAATATCTTCAGCACATTTTCATTGCTATAGGAAATGACAATGACTGACCATTCCGTTAAAAAGCTTGACAATGATGCTGATTACGTTATCGGGCACCGCTTTAAGTGCAAACGCCTTAATTCTGTTATAATCTGGTGACTTTTTGTTTGTTAATGCTTTGATCTCATCCGCAATTCTACGGCAAAATTGCTGAGTGCCGCATTGCTAAATCCATCAGTCAATCATCAATTTGGAGCAAACGTATTTTGGAGATATATGACAAACACCTCGACTTTCTTTGCATTGGTCCTGCGCCAATGGCCTCCGCTGTTTAAAATTGGTGGGCATCTAGATATCTGCTTATTGCTTAGTCTAGTCGAATTCCAAAGATTGTTTTCTAGATCTCTTTGTTTCGCAGCACGCAGAAACGCCTTTAGAAATTTGTTGCTCAATTTACAGGGAACATGCTTCAGCTCCTTAGTGGCATGATTGAGAAGTGTTTTGTAGTTAAGATTTCTACGTTCGTTAAATATTATTACTAACGGAGCAAATGCTCACTTCCGTTCAGGGATAGATGCTTCCTAAACATATTCTTTTATTATTCAATTATGCTGTCAATGAAGCAAAAGTAAAAAAAAATATTTTTGGTGAATCACTATTTCCAAAGCAAATATAGGAAGTTTCGGCACAATTCCGATTTCTTTGGCGCCGCGATCTGATAGGTACCGCAAACGCTTAGTTTAGGAGATAATCGACCTTAAAGTTCAAAAATTCGCAAAATTCGTACATTTCAAGACGCTATTTCACCACATTAAACACACTTCATTCACATTTTTCACTYCAAATTAATTAAATTACACTATAAACTTGTAAATAACTCCATATYTTACACTTTTAGCAGGTTTTTTTACCTAAAAAATCTGCATTTTAAAAATTACATTTTACACTCGCTTTAACCCCTTTTGTTTACCAAAAATTAATCGTGAAAATTTTAAAAAATATAAGTAACTTTTATATTATTTTTGGATATTCCTCCTCTGGAGACGCTCCCCTATCCGGACATACCCCATTTATACGGAAATTCGGTTTTTTAACCCCTCCGCCAAAGTAATCGGAATCGTGCCGTAGTTTCAGGTATTTTAAAAGTCAATTCCATTTTCAATTGATAAAGACAATAATAAACGTCTTTCATTTCATTAGAAAGACAAAAGATCTTTTCTAAGCAACCCTAGTGCTTAGAACGTCCTCTACCGTGCTTAGAACTAAGCACTAAAACTGCCAATCGCAGCGTTATGTTTGTACTTTTTATTAATATATTCGGTAACATCGCTTACAACTTTTGTTGCAATTGTGAATGAAGTCGTTAGTCAGCTGATAAATATAAACATTTAGTAATTTCTGTATTCGTCAATTTCAGGATATTTGTAGTGTTTAATGGATATTTCAGATTTTGAAGTGCGCGAGGTAAACATATATATTTAATTGAACGCTAACATGTAACATCTTTTAGAACTGTTTAGTGCCCCTCTTCGGCAGTATATATTCCAAACTTTATAACGTCCGAAGAAGAGAAACGCATTTTGTCTCAGATTTCGCGAGCTCCAAAACCGAAATGGACTCAACTTCGTAATAGACGCCTCATTAATTATGGAGGAGTACCCCATCCAAATGGAATGATTGCTGAAGAAATTCCCAAATGGTTACAAATCTATATGGAAAAAATAAATAATTTAAGTAAGATAATTCTACATTACATATTTTATTTCAATTGTACTAATTATATTTCTCCGTTGTTATGGAGATTTTTTTCAATCCCAAAAAGCTAACCATGTCCTAGTAAATGAATACTTACCGGGTCAAGGGATTATGCCTCACACAGATGGACCGCTATTTCATCCAATCATAACGACTATCACATGTGGTTCATATACAGTACTTAATTTCATTGAACGAAATGTGACTAGGTCTAATGATAATCAGTGTCGTTTACATAAATATAATAACGATGCTGAATCGTTACAACGGGAAAGCTTAACACGTGAAATTAAATTCAAAATGCTTTTAGAACCTCGTAGCTTATTAATACTTAAGGATGAATTATATAATAATTATTTGCATGGTATAGATGAAGTCAAGCAAGATGTTCTTTGTGATAAAATCTGTAACTACCAGAATTGCGAAAGAGTCCATAAGATGGGAAGTATTTTAAAACGCGGGATTCGTATTTCACTAACGATACGTCATGTACCAAAAACCACAACAATGAAATTAAAGTTTTGTTAAAGTACTTCCGTCATATTCTTTACATCCTCTTCACTATAGAGAAATAATTCACAAAATTGTAAATGCTACATAGATAGCAGTTACTGGAAGGCCGACTGTCGTTACAATTTAATTCATCCTATTGTCACTCGGATTCGTTTCAATACTTTATTAACCTTCTTGCTCATCCTCTATTTTTCCAACTAATAATGCGCATGTTTATATAGAATAAGCCAAAAATATATGCAACACTTTTATTATAATAAAATACAAAAGAGATTTATTTCAAGTTATAACGAAACATTATTTTTTACACACTTTACTCGATCTTGTCTTCCCATCGTAGTTGAAATTCATGTTCGAATATATTTCTGTCATATAGATTAACTGTACTAATGTGAGCTGATATATCCAAACGTAATTCACTCACTGCCAAGTGGAAATTTTGCTTATCGACCACCAACCGGGCGAGAGGTCTACGAAACAGGCTCAATATTTTTTTCAGATGATATTCGACACTAGCACATCGACCAATACAAATCCACAAATCTTCTGGATTTTTTATATTTCCAGGAAAACGTTTACATACATCAAAAGGAGCTTTACCGTCAGTTAAAAGAAATTTGACTTCGGAAACAATTTTATTATTTTGACTGGGGTCGTTAAGGCTCAGTGTTTGGTATTCATGTTTGTCACAAAAATGTATTATATCACTAATACAGCACCAAGGTTGTACTGCCAAATCACTATGTTTTCTATTCCAGTTAATATATCTGCCTTTAAGAGTAGTTAAGGGACTAAAACGACTTTCCAAACTTGTACTGCGGGGTGACAAAATCTCAAAATCCTTCTTAGTTTCTTTGGTTTCAAAACAAGTTGGCGGATTATGATTTTCAATTACGTCGTTCTTCGGTGAGTCAGATAATATAACAAGCTGATTATCAACAGTTAAATTATGTGTCTCCTTGAAAATATCCTTGTTTTGGATCAATACATTTTTACGGTCATCACCCTCTTTATTTTCACGTACTTGTTTCAAAAAATGACGAACTCTCCAAGACATTTTATTCGTAATAATTTTCTTCTACTTGTTTTGTTTTGTATTTTATATATGCACACATATGTGACTATATGCATACTATTGAAACTTATCAATCAAAAAGTAACAGCTCATACTGATATAATTGTGTAATCGCCCCGATACGTTTTTAACTTAAAATTTAAATAATGTTGTGTACGTTGTAACACTACTAAAATATATTTGCCTGATTTTCTTCAATGTATCTTATTTTATTCCTTCGGTTGTATAGACGTATTTGATAATAAATTAATCAATACACAGATGTATGTACATGTCTACAAATATACAAAAATAGATACAATGTGGTGCTTCTTTTTAAATTCAGAGGGAAATGTTAAGTAGTCCACAAAGTTGGGTACAAATAAGATTATATGTATGTATAAACAGCCTACTAATCTAACTAACTTTAACCCAAATTAAATATATGTATTTTATTTTTTCAATATGTTAATTCTGACAGAAATATGTTCGCAATACAAACTCTAAACTAAACTAAAAAATCGAAAAGTTGTGTATTTTTATTGACCCACTGTACGTTGAAGCGTTAGCACAACTTATTTAATATGTATATAGTATGTGTATGTGCATATTGAAATTAAATTGCGAAATAGGTCAGACACCATCTATATATATTTAGATTCCTAAATTTAATTCTAAAAGGTAAGGAACAACCATTTTCAAGAGGAACCGCGATGTCGTTGTTTTACAACAATTTTTTAGTCGAAATCTTGTGTTTATCACTCTTGCGTATGTACATCAAAAAATGTTGAATATGAGTAAAAAAAAGTTTCATTCGTTTAAAGTAACGGATTGCGGAATATCAAACTGGTTTTAAGCGAGTACGGAACAGAAACGCAGAATTACAAGTGAAAGAAAACAATTAATTTAAAAAACAAGAGAAGACAATGAAGGGGTTCAAAGAAGTTTAGATGCTGGCTGATAAGAAGATGTCATACAGATCAAAACTTACGAATATACACACTTATAAAAATATAAAAAACCAAGTGATTTTTTTCATTGAATTGTGGAAAATTACTATCAATGTTACTATGGCTTATGCGAAAAATAGTGATTAATTTGTAGTCATGTTTTTACTAGCACTTTTAGGGTAAGCGGCGGTGAATTCGCATTTTTCGAATTTCGAAATAATAATTATTAATAAGATGTGTATGTATGTTTATTAAAACAAATAATCAACAACTTTATACCCAATCATATAGCAATATAATTTTATTATAATTTATAGTTTTTATATAAATTTTAGAATCAATCAATTATGTAGATATAAACACCTAAAACATTTTTAATGCTTAACTAAAATATGCAACATTGCTTAAGGCATGTCATCCAATGACGGTTTTCTTTAAAACATGTATATATACTTACATGCATATAGTACATACAATCATATTAAAATAATATAAAAATATATTTAAATGCATACTGAATGATAACAAATGTAAAATACTCTATTGCTTTTATATACGTTTCGTTTCATCGAAATCTCTTTTAAAAAATAGTTGCAGATATGATTTAAATATTAATTTTGTTGACTTAGGAAACTTTGTTGTAACTGCAAAAAATCCCTTATTAAATTGATATCTTATTCTTAAGTATTTTTATGATGGCACGAATTAAGTACAACATTTAAATTAATATACAATTTTATAATCGTGTACTGCAGCCTAGTGGACAAAAAATTACTTATACTTTCTTATCTACATATGTATTCAAGACCATTTATAGAGTCGATCAAGATTGTTAAAGCGTTAATATTCTACATACAACTGGTTTGTGAAATAATTATTGAGTTCTGTACATTCAAATTTATATGTACACTTTGGTATATTAGTTTGTCATGATATATAAGAATGCTGCTTAGAAAATAGGAGTTTATGCTTTTTACTAATAACACTTTCATAAAGGAGAACATATCAGAAGGAAACAATTGAATACGAAGAATTAAATAAAAAAAATTGCGTAAATAGTTGTATGAATCCGTATTGTATAAAGTATAGTTTTAATTAGTCATGTTTACTTTAAAATAATAAATATTAAATATAAAGCTAATCATGTACACATGTATGTAAAAAATGCATCACATAAAAGTGCTTTTAAATCGCATATGCATAGACACACCTCAAAGCAAAAGCTTCCTAAACGCAATAAGATGGTGGAACTTCAAAAATAATATTACCCGCTACATGTCGGAAATTTGGATTTTCTACTCCTGGTTCACCCTTTACTGTAATTGCTCGTGATTTTCCACCCAAACGGCAGGCAATTGTAGGGCTAACATCCACACGCAGTTCTCGCTGACAAAGGCTAATAGGGTTTTAAAAAATATCAAGTAAGTACTTCGCAGTACTGTGTATATTAATACTTACTCAATATATTTTTTACATATTACACCCACAAGCTCACCAATATGATCTTCTCTTAACTGAGAGATTTCACTTTTCAGAGCAAAAACTAAATCATTGTTGTCGGAAGAGTGGAAAACAATAAGTTGGTCGCGTCCGGGGCTAATACTGATGGATGTTAACTAGGGAAGAGAATATAATATAATGAAAAGAGTTTTTAAAAAAATATTATTTAACCAATTTCTATCAAATAATTTTCAGAATAAGTAAATTTTAAAAATTATTTACTTTCTTAAAAATCGTTTTACACATTTCTCTATAATATTAATAAGTTTTGATATTAACTTACATCTTTAATGGATAAAGAATGATTCATATTTTTAAATTTATGTTTAGCACCATCCAGTTTGTAGATTGTCGAATCTGTTACAATAAAGGCGCGATCAGCAGTTTTATTATGTTTGTTGTATTTTTTAACGAATGACGAAAATAGTATATTATTAAATGATTGACTGTTCTTTAAGTTTCTAACGTTGGTGTTATAAGCTTGATAACCTGTATTATCCTGCGAGTTGGCTAAATAATCACCAATCCATTTGCGTTGCTGTCCCCAATGAAATCGACGACCTTTTATAGCACCTGCAGCAATTATTTGTAATTGCAATTGCGGCCATTCACTTCGTGGATATTTACGAAGGATCATAAAAGCCCTCCAATAGTTAAAAATGCGTTGGAGTTGAGGTTCTGCATTTCTTCCAGCTAACGGAGGTTGTGGCCATTGGATACTCCGACCATAGTCTCTAAAATTTTTGGCTTTACGAAAGCGTTGAGCTAGGTCTTGTACGTAAAATCGTAATTTGTATGTTTTGTATGCACGCATTATAGTAAGTGCAGCCTTCATTTTCTTGTAATTTCGACGTGCAATCCACCCGCGCACTTGCTTTTGTAACAAAGTAACAATATGCGGAATCATTTCATTTCGCTGCTGCTCAAGAGCGAATAATGTTTTAGGTGAGCGTATGAAGACTTTTGTATGTCCATATTTTACGTCGCTTCCGAAACCTTTTTCCTCAAGCAAAACTCTCACACCATCACGGTCGGTACCGGCGCGGAAATTCGGCCATGTATACTGAGAAATCATTTTGTAGCGCAATAAGAACTTATCGTACCGTTGACGATGCACAAAACCAGCTCGTCGAACTCGCACATTCTCTAGCAATCCTAAATAGCGAACTTGGTGCTGTACACGTTCGTCGTCGAACACGGTGGGGCTCTTTATGTCATTAGGTTTAATACAACGAACGTAAAATGGTTCTTTTTTCAAAAGAGTTTTCACAAGATCTATTATGGATCGTTGGAAAAGTGTCCCAGCTGTTAGGGGTCGTTTCGTTGTTTTTTTTATATCTTGGGCCCCTTCGGGCCACATTCCGCTCAAGTTAACATTTTTGGAGTGATGCAATAGTCGCTTGAAATCCTGATACAATGTATCTTTGTTCTTTTCGATGAATCCATTGATATTATAAATGACATCACCCGCATAGTGTGTTATTCGAAAGTCCTCCCGATGTTTGAGTTCTTTATCCATTGGTTTTAATTGTCGACTGCTGAAATGAGGATTGGTGCTAAGATTTTTATCCATTGCACCTAGCAGTGTTTCGTCGTTGATTTTACCCACTGAGAGACAAGCTTCATCCATTATAGCTATCATACCTTTATGTGGTTGTTCAATGAGCTCGCATATTATCTGAGTTAAAAGATATCTTTACTATAATTAATGTTATAATAATTTTTCTTTAAAGGAGAAATGCTGAACCACTTTGTAGAGCTATATTACTGTAAATTTCGAAAAAAATTTACTAGATATAATAGCCACTGAGAAAAGAATTATTTTTTGTAAAATAGGGTTCAACGTTGTTCAGTTATCGTCATACTCCGACGACTGCACGACTTTCTTGGACAAAAAAGTACTAATATTATTGGTAACATAATCTAGTCTAACGAAAGCAAAGGTCACAAAATTTGCTTTACGTGCGCAGTTCAGGTAGTGAGAGGTTCCAGGATAATTGTGTAGTAAAGAAAAATATTCTCAAAAATAAATTATTTGGGGCTGCTTTTTCTAACTTATTTTGGTACTGTTAAGTATCCACAATTGAAGAACATTATACTTATACGGATCGCTTATGACAAGCCATCGTGCAAAAACGGCTAAGTTTAGATTGGAAACAAATCTTGTATAAAACATCCATACAATATTGGTATATATAATCTTATTCGACTTTTTATTTTAATTTGGCCAACACATTGAACGATCTAAAGATTTTACGCCTGGAACTGGATTGGCCTGGAAACTCATTGATAAAGATTTTAGAACTTGTTTGGCAGGTCCCGTTTTTCTACATTTGGGGAGGAAAATGATTTAGTCGCTTTTAACTAACTTCATTTTGTTTACTTTAAATAATTAATTTCTTGAAATGTACATTTGGGTTAATTTTTTTTAACTAATTGGCTATTCTTTATAAAAACTATTTTAGGGAAAAATTTATTTATCAACTAAACACGTGGATATTACTCATATATACAGGTATATACATTTTTATAAATAGAAAACTGAGGTAAGAAAATCACTCTTTAATTGTCTTACCTTGTTATTAAAGTATTCAATATTCGTCCATTCTATACCTTCTCTTTGGTATTCCTCCTGCTCCTGTTTAAGAACCAGCTCTGTTGAATACACAAATTTAATTAAAAGAAAATTAAAATAATTGGTATGGTAAGTCTGAATTCTTTAAACCAACCAATAAACAATTGTTGTAATTTTTCATTACAATAATTTATACAAAACTGCTCAAAACTATTGTTGTCAAAAATTTCGAATCCGTAAATGTCTAAAACGCCAATAACTGATTTAAAACGTGCTTGAGTTTTCGAGCCGCGATAGAGGATTGCACGATTTATACGGGAAATAATCCAAGAGAATAAACGGTCGTATATTGCTTTAGCCAAAGCATCCTTTCCATATTCAGCTTGCGTGGCATCATGTTCCTTTTGCATAACATTACCACCAGCAGCAATAATGCGTGTTGTCAACGAATTGGAAAGCTCATTTTCTGTTACTTGCAATAACTTGGATGCAAATTGTAAATGCGATTTGTTGCTTATAACTAGATCATCTTCAATTGCTGGAAATAAATCCATGGCAAAAAATGTTAACGTTTTTAAATCTTTCATTTAAAAATTTCTCATCAGTTCATACATTGAAACTCAATATTTCCCAAATGTATAATAGCTGCCAAAATCTGCCATATAGTATGCACTTCTTCAGTAGAAAAACCCAGTATTTTAAAAGCATTGTTTGTGCTTTTATAATCTACTTTTTCAGAAAGTATGTCCATACTGCCTTGATTCATATAATGATATCTGCTAGGATCTTTTAATAAATTATATTGTTGCAATTCGCTATCGCTTGCACCACGTAAGAGCTATGAAGAAGTAATAAATTAATTACTCGATTCATTCCGCTACAGAATTTTTACCTGATAGAAACTATGAAAATTTCGTTCTCCCGGTTGTTGTTGCACCACCCGAGACTTTTCTAGCAAATAATTAGTGATTATGCCCCCCACAGGGTCTCCTTTATGGTCGAATTCAATATCCATATATTTTCCAAATCGGCTGGAATTATCATTCCGATTTGTTTTTGCATTTCCAAATGTTTCAAGGATTGAATTACTTTGCAATATCACATTCTTCACTCTAAAAAATTAATAAGTATGAACAGAATATTACCAAGAAAACATATTAGCTGACGATTTATCAATGAATAAAAAGTACTTGCCTTTCAACTTCGTTTTGTCCATGTATGTTAGTAACGGCAGCAATATATTTCATAATAATTTTTGACGCTTCAGTTTTACCTGCACCAGATTCTCCGGATATGAGGATACATGTATCTTGATGCCGTTGCTTTAAAATCCTATATGCAGCGTCAGCGACAGCATAAAGATGGGGAGGATTCTCGAATAACTCCCGACCTTTATATATATTTATTACATCAGGGCCATATATGTTCATTTGCCGATATGGGTTCATGGATACACAGACTTCACCGATGTAGGTATATATATGACCATTTTGAAACCTGTGACAGCAAACAATTTATTTTATGAAAGGTATGATATTTTAAATAAATTTTATGGTACAACTACTAACAAAAATACCAATAATACCCATTGCAAAGAAACAAGGAAATATTAAAAAAATAATATAATGTTAATCTACATTAGAGATAACTGTTCTAGCCATCATAACCGCTGGAAATTAATCGTTGAAATACAAAAATGACGCTAGAAGAGGCATAAAACGCATTGTTCGAAGTGATGACTTTCTCCGTAGAGGCTATTGCCTTACCTATTTTCTTCTTTAAATAATTTCGAGTTTCTTTGCCAATATTTTCAAAATTTTAACCACCAGGTTAGCCATGTTTCAATAACCTTAGCTGTAGGTTACCTACTTTTCAATATGGTCATAACAATCGACACATTCCTAAAAGATATACTTTGTGATAATTTTTATAGATATATATATATATATATATATATATATGCATATCTAGATATTGTGTCAGCCAGCTAGATTACCTTTATTTTACGAATATCCGAAATCATATTATTAATTGCTGAAATAAAACTTAGCCAAAGCCAAAGTATCGAAAATATTTTATAGACATATTCAATAAATGGTATAAATATAACAAAAAAGTCTTGCAATGTAATTTAACCAGTATCAAAATAAATATACATTGTTGATGACTAAGCTGTGCAATAACTATACAACACTTGTAAGAATCACTCCTAAGCATTTTCTTTATCATTCTCTTTCTTTATTTCATTCTCTCAGTAAGTAATATATAAATTCAACGTGGTGACGTAATTTGCAATTTGTGAGTAATCAAACACAACTAGTAATTACTAATGCAATGACTGTAAAAAATCCACACATTACTGGAACTAAAGTCAACATATGCTAAATTTTAAGTGCTAAAATAGAACAGAGTAAAGGAAAAAAAATGAAGTAAGTATTAATGGATATACACACATATTTCAATTTTATTTTATTCAATGAATAATTGTAAATACACAAAGTGTGTATTTTCTATTGATATTTATGTTTATTAAAAATCAGAATTTTTACATTATTAACTGGATATTTCATAGATTACACGATATCAACACATAAAACATTCCCAATTAGGTATATATTTTTTACATTTAAGTTGTATTTATGTCAACCCTTAATACGAGTATGGTTTGATGCATACCCATGCTGAAATATAAATTTAGTTGCTAGAAATGAATTGTGCAAAACTCTATAAAAACTCGTAATGAATGTATGACTGACTTATACGTATAATAATTAAAGAGATAAGGAAAATTATAAGGCATCAATTCAATATGACTTCATATTATAATGTATGTGAGCTACATATGTGTGGTTTATTGAATTTTATCAAGCACATAGTATGTAAATATGATATATATGAGTTCAAAATTTCAAGCTAAAATATGACTTGAGTATGTTCTTTTAAGAAGATATTAAACTATTAATTCATAAAACATAATAATTTTCATAATTGCAGTAAATTTATAGATTGAAACTGTTAATGATTTAAGTAATTAGTTAAAACTTTGAATCATTATGGAAATGAAAGATTTGAATTTAAATCCTAAACAATATAAGTAATACCTCTTTCAGTGCCTAAGTATTATTATGCCTTGCACGCACTAATTGACCCAATATGGAACGATTTTTATAAAAATTACGATTGAAGTAGCTTTGTTCAGCATGTTTCACCACTCTTGGTTTTAGTTACGCCGTTGATTATGCATACATATGTATGTATAGTAAATTCGCTGACATAATTGACTAAAATGAAGAGGGGCGTTTACTAAATGCTGTTAAGTTTTGTACAGGTGGAACACGAATTATCATATGAAGTCTATACAAGAATATAGAAGCTCGTGATTTTTTTCACAAAAACCGTTAAACTATACATTAAATATGTAGCTAAAGTACAAAAAGACATTTGATTTGATGATATAGATATGATATGATATAGATAGAAATTCAACAACAGTCTTAAGCTTTGACTAACAACTTCATATCTTATTTAAATCATAAATGTCCTCAAGGGAAGCAATAGTCATGTACTTTAACAGAACTTATATTTTTAATTTTGAAAATGATGATGTTGATCTGCAAGATGTCACGATTTATTATTGAATTCTGAACTAAAAGTTCAAACATTATTAAACGACATATTTCAATCAGTTCGATTTGAACTTGATGACATACTTGTAAGTTAGCTTTACATTGAAGTAGTACCATACATATCGAAAACCCCATATATCATATCATACTGTTTGTGGCCAAGTTAATAAGCAAAATACATATTTACATGACTTAAATTACTGTTTCGACTAAGTGAAAAGTTTAGTGTCTACACAAAGTAACTTATACGAATATGTATTTAGCATATACATACATATGTACATATGAGGCAGCGCAATTTGTTGAATACAATTGTTCTAGAATAATCCAACGATTCTACAGGTGATTTACAATTGACCTTTATTTATATGGCAGAACGCTCGTGCGATTAGATAATTTAAAAGTTTTTTCGATAATGTTTGTAATCGTCGATCTCTTATGTAAGAGCATTAATAATGTACATTGTACATACACTCGGCGCAAAAAGAACTAACGCAGTCGAAAATTTCCTAATATTTCCATTTTGAACTGCCACTATTTGCTCAAAATTCACTATTTGCCTTATTTGGCTATTTGGTCATGTGACTACATTATTTTGCATTTATTTTTAAAACCGTTAGCATCCACACGTGTTTATTACAGAAATTATTATTGAATAAGTTGTGAAAACAAGTAATGTTGGACATGATGGTTACCCGGATTTCATTTCATCTCGTCGTCCTCATCATTTGTACACATATACAGTAATGTGCAATAAAATAAAGCCACTCAATCGCCGGCGATGTTACTTCATTTAAAATATTTTATAATATTCTATGAACTAAGTGTAATTCAATAAATATGTATATCGTCTATGAATTTTGTACATTTACATATATCTGAATTCAATTATTTGATTAAGTTTTAAACAAACCCTGAGCAAAGGGTTTTAATTTTACACATTTGATGTAAAGTTTGATGTTTCAAGTAAAATAGGTATAAAAATCAGAAGAGCATGGCAGTCCGGAACAAAGAAAAAGTAGAGAAAGCAATAAATTCCAAACAAAAAACAGAAAAAGGTGGGGAAAATATTAAATCAGTGCGGTGAGGTTAAAAAGATCCATTTGTGAGATTTTCTTTTCTTAAGGACCAGTACTGTTTAAATGTGGATCCTTCAACCATTATTAAATTATTGATTAGAAAAATAAAAATTGAAAGCTGAAGTACTGACCACAGTCAATGAAAAAAACGATTAAAATTTAAGGAATATACTTATTCCAAAGAGTATTCCAGTCATCATAGCACTTGAGAAAACCATCCGTCGTGATGGCCATCACATCCTTCTATGATTCTTTTATATCCTTAATTGAGTCAAAACGTTATCCTCGGAGTGGTTATGTGAATTTGCTGAATAGCCATAAGTTACACGAAGGTAAATCAGGCGAATGCGGTGGTTGCGGCACGATATTAGTTGAAAATGTGGGAAATGATAACGAATAGCCAATGCAGTATGAGATGGTGCATTATCGCATTTCTTTTTTCAATAAATTCGACATAGTAAAAATTAGAAACTCACAAAACGACGTGTATACTTATGAATTTTTTGACGTAAAATTTAGGATAGATGTCACCAACAGTACTACCACTTACAACAAAAAATACTGATTCGAAAAACACACGAAGTATAAATTGGATCACATTATTATATATCTGTTAAACCAGTTAAGCTACAACAACCAAATTTGCTGGGTACAAATCTTATGAGAACTTCTACCGAGTGTGTGAAAATGGATGAAATCGGAGGATAGTCCCCCTCACTCCCCATATAACGGTACTGTTAAATTTCACTACCGAGATAGCATGAGAAGGCTTTGTGAGAGCCGGCGTGAATATCTCGGAATCCGTCTAACCGATTTCGAAAAAAAAATTTAGTTCGTGCCATTCTTTTCATATTTGTATATCACATTGTGAAAATGAGCTAAATCGGAAATTAACTACGCCTACTTCGCGTAGAGCAAAATTTTAAATTCCACTTCATTCTTTTAGTTTCCAGTACAAAAATCAAGAGACAAAAATTATATAACGGGATTAAACTTTGCACGAATAATGACGTTATGATCAAAAATTGTTCAAATCCAACATAAATATAATGCCTTTAGTGTATGCGACCTTATGACCAAAAATTATTCAAATCCAACATAAACTCTTCAGGCCCCTAGGTACCAAATTTTATTTGGTATTTGGACCCCAGTACCTATAGTTTACTTTTGTTCGATAATATCCGTCAATGTCTGAGATATATTTAGGGATAGTACTATTCCGTCTGTAAGTCAAAAATGGGTTGAATCGGACAAGTACTTCCCTTAGTCCCCATATACCTAATATAGTATAAAGATAATCGAACTTCCGTGTCACTTCGTGCCGCATATATCGGCCAATATGTGAGTTATCTCAATGAAAACTTCTGAACATATTTTACTCATAACAATGTATCTTTGTGCCTCAAATAGATAAATTTGAGCGAAAACTTGACTCCCCCGATACAACTAATATCAGCACTTTTGAACATCCGGCTGACTTTACTTATATGATTGGTTTTTAGTATGTGTTATCTTAATAGTATTGGTATTGGGAATAACAGACAAAATCTGGACGATACTACTCCAAATCTAAATTTATAATAATATGTTTTATGTAATATGTTTTTGTTTTTAAATTCTCTATAACAGTTGCAAGTTTTCCATATTTCATGTTATTTATATTATTAATTAATTTAATTAATATTATTCGGATTGTATTAATACATATGTACTAAAAAAAATTTAATTATTTTAAGCCAAGAAAGTTGTAAAAGATAAGGCTGCTGAATTCCTAAAAAACACGGGTCTAAAT